CAAGCTTCTACTCTATCAAATGGGGAAGCAGGAAGTAAGACCCCTCATGTCTCCAAAAGGATGGCTGAGGAGATCTTGTCCAATCTGTAAAAAGATCACAATGTCAGCAGCAAAGATGGTAGGTTTGACTTTAAGGCTGCTGAAGGAGAGGTTTATTTATTTCCAGAGTAAGATTAGAATTGTCTGAGCATGCTGGGCACGGTGGCTCACACCTACAATTCTGGTACTTTGGGAGGCTGAGTCGGGCAGATCACTTAAGGTCAGGAGTTCGAGATCAGCCTACCCAACATGGCGAAACACTGTCTCTATTAAAAATACAAAAAATGGCCAGGTGCAGTGGCTCACGCCTGTAATCCCAGCACTTTGGGAGGCTGAGGCGGGCGGATCACGAGGTCAAGAGATGGAGACCATCCTGGCCAACATGGTGAAGCCCCGTCTCTACTAAAAATACAAAAAAATTAGCTGGGCGTGGTGGCACACGCCTGTAGTCCCAGCTACTGGGGAGGCTGAGGCAGGAGAATTGCTTGAACCCGGGAGGCGGAGGTTGCAGTGAGCTGAGGTCGCGCCATTGCACTCTAGCCTGGCACCTGGTGACAGAGTGAGACTCTGTAAAAAAAAAAAAAAAAAGCCAGGTGACAAGGTGACATAGTGTATGCCTGTAATCCCAGCTACTTGGGAGTCTAAGGCAGGAAAATCACTTGAACCCAGGAGGTGGAAGTTGCAGTGAGCCAAGATTGTGCCACTGCACTCCAGCCTGGGCAACAGAGCAAGACTCCATCTCAAAAAAAAAAACCAAAAAAACAAAATTGGATTGACAGAAGAACAAGGGTGGATTGAACATAAAAAGTTGCCTATCACTTGTCACTGAATTCTCCCTTCCAACCACAGAGGATCAGAAAATAGGCTGTTTTATCAGTCCAGTAAGATTTCCTACCTCTGTAGCACTTGAATAGTGAACCACAGAAGACTCCAGAATATACTTTTAAAGTCAGTGAAGATGCTGGGATGTTCTTGCTCAGCTCAAGATCTTGTTTCCTTCTGTGGCCTTACATGTACCTCCCCCTTGCTGGGACTGGAGAGTGACATCAGAATCACAATTGGTGCTATCACTGTTTCTATAGCAACAGTGGTGAGGCTACCAGAAAATGAGTGGTCAAAAAGACAAAGAGGAGGGGTGAAGATATGCTCCAAGGTGCTCATGTTTAGTTTGGAAGGACTGGGCTTTATTCTGATTAATTATCTTTTTAGAGCAGTGGTCCCCAAACTTTTTCACACCAGGGACCAGTTTTATGGAAGACAATTTTTCCACGGATGGGAGCGGGGTGGGAGAATGGTTTCTGGATGATTCAAGCACATTACATCTGCTGTGCACTTTATTTTTATCATTATGCCATGATGTAGAATCTGTGGGAGCTCTGATTTCCTGCAACTAGATGGTCTCATCTGGGGGTGATGGGAGACAGTGACAGATCCTCAGGCACTAGATTCTCATAAGGAGTGCACAACCTGCACTTTCACAATAGGGTTCAAACTCCTACGAGAATCTAATGGCAGAAGGTGGACCTCAGCTTTGCTCACTTGCCCACCACTCACCTGCTGTGTGGCCAGGTTCCTAGCAGATCACCGGTCCATGGCCTGGGGTTTGGGGACCCCTGCTTTAGAGTGTTTAATATAGGCAGGAGAAATACAGGAGGGGGACATTTTGCCAATGGATTCCACTTAAAACAGCAGAATAATTATTACGTATTAACAAATGTAGAGCACCACAGGGGAGAATCAGAAATAAAAGAATTGAGGGTCTAAATTTTATGCAAATCCCACGGAATCACTTTATTTTGTCAAATCCAACCAGGACTCTTCTTATTTATAAGCATCTTGCCTTTTGTTAATATAAATATATGTGTGTGTGTGTGTGTGTGTGTGTGTGTGTAGGATATTTTGCCTAAACTGACCACCTCTAGGTTATAATTTGTCTTAGGTGCTCAGAGATACAATGAACTAATTTATCTTTTGCAATGCCTGACCTGAGAAGCTGTAGTAGGAAAAATCAGACCATGAGGCAATTGGTTAGCTACTCTTTCTTTGCTTGGGGTGGAGTGGGATGAGGGTGGTCTTTATTACTACATTCTCTGTGGAAATGTTACCTCAGCTATTCTGTAACTAATAATGAAACACAGGACTAATATGTAGTTTCCATGAAGCAAAAAGAACTTCCAAGCAAGGCCACAAGATAATGATGAAAACTGCAAGAGATTCAAAAGTGGCTGGTTTATCACAGGCTTCCTTCAAAAAGGTTATTTATTGCCGGTTCCAGTGGTTTACGTCTGTAATTCCAGCACTTTGAGAAGCAGAAGCGGGCGGATCGCTAGAGGTCAGGAGTTCAAGACCAGCCTGGCCAACAAGGCAAAACCTTGTCTCTACTAAAAATGCAAAAAATTAGCCAGGCATGGTGGTAAATGCTTGTAATCCCAGCTACTTGGGAGACTAAGGCAGGAGAATCACTTGAACCCAGGTGGCAGAAGTTGCAGTGAGCAGAGATCACGCCATTGCACTCTAGCCTGGGCAACAGAGTGAGACTTTAAAAAAAAAAAGTTATTTATCCATTGATGATCTTTTATATTAGGTCTCAAAAGAGCTCTTGTATTCTTTTCACATAAAGTGCACCTACTAATCAAATATATTGGTTAATATATCTCATTTTCTTTCTTTTTCTTTGAAATGGAGTCTCAACTCTGTCACCCAGGCTGGAGTACAGTGGCAAGATCTTGGCTCACCGCAACCTCCGTCTCCCAGGTTCAAGTGATTCTCGCGCCTCAGCCTCCCAAGTAGCTGGGATTACAGGTACCTGCCACCACACCCAGCTAATTTTTGTATTTTTAGTAGAGGCCGGGTTTCATCACGTTGGTCAGGCTGGTCTCAAACTCCTGACCTCAAGTGATCCACCAGCCTCAGCCTCTCAAAGCACTGGGATTACAGGCATGATCCACTGTGCCCAGCCTCTTCATCTTTAAAATAAACAAATGGGGCTTGCTAAGCTCCTAAGATCTCTTCCAGCTTAACAACCTATGATTTTGATTCTTCAGTGGTATTTGAATAGCACTGCATGGACCTACATATAGTACTTTGCAGATGACAAAGCGTCTTTGCATCCATTATGTCACCCAATTCTCATAGTAACCTTTTGAGGTACCAGGTAGGTTTTATCTACCCTGTTAGACAGCTGTAGGAGCTTGTCCAGGTCACAGCTAATAGCTGATAAAACTGGGAATGGAATCTAGTATTCTGGGTGTTAAAAATCAGTGTTCTTTCAGCTGGGCACAGTGACTGATGACTGTAATCCCAGCAATTTTGGAGGCCAAGGTGAGAGGAGGTCTTGAGCCCAGGAATTTAAGACCAGCCTGGGCAATAGTTAGACCTCGTCTCTTAAAAAAAAAATCAGTGTTCTTTCATTTACACCGTGCAACCTTGAAACTAAAATTGAGAATATGAGGCAGTGTTTAACTTACAGATTTTAAATAACATAATTGGCAATGTTATACAGGAGTTCCAAGGTTGCTTGTAACCGTCAGGGTCTGTCAATCCCAACCCGGAAAGTATGTAACTATCCGTATTGGTCCCACAATCAAGTATTAGCAAACTGTGTTAAATGAACATAGGATGAAGCCAAGAAATATGACAGCATAGCATTATTAAGCTTCTCTGGTGAAATTCAAAGATTTCTCTTGTCTTGCAATTCAATTTGATAGGTGACACTTCAGTAAACGGTAGGGTTAAGAAAGAGAGGAAACAGCCAAGATTTCAAGCCTAGTAATAAAGCAACTCCTACATCCCTACGCACCTCAGGCCTTTTTGTCTATCCCAGAAACACATACTTTTCCTGAAAAAACACGGCACTAGAAGGATTACCAACTAGAAAGAACCCGCCCTCCCCAAACCAGGTGGTTTTTCTGATAAGCCCAAGGTGTGTTTCACAGGATCACTGGTTGCTGTCTCTTACCCAGGACTCTGGAGAGGTTGACCGTAATAAAGTATTTTAAAATCCAAGTACTTAGTCTAACCTGGAATATCCTCAGTCTCCAGATGGCTCTTTGTAGAACAATGCAGATTCTCAAAGGTGTCCATAGTTAAAGAAAAAATTACAAAGACTGCGCTAGAGAGAGCCATCTGCAGGTTCCCCTTAGACCGATGTTCAGATGGCACACACGGTCACTAAATTTTACATAACATTTCAGGAAGTTCACAGATTTCCTGAAGCCCACTCATGAACCACACTCCTGGTTAAGAACTCCTGGATTCATATGCCAGGTGGTGATAAGTGCTTTGGTATATAAACTTAGACCAAAAATTGGTGGAATGATTACCACCTTGGATAGGATGGTCAGAGTTGTTTTCTCCGAAGAGGTCACTTTTGAGCAGAGACTTGAGCTGGTGCAGATACCTGAGCGAGCATTCCAGGAAACGCCATCAGCAAGCGCAAAGGCCCCTAGGAGAGAATGTGCTTGGCGGGCTCGACGTACATTTATTCACTTGGGACACACCCTCATTTCGGTTTCTCTTCTCCACTTTTCCCCTCGTCCTTGTCTCCCTTTTTCTCTCTCCTGGGCCCTGGACCTCCCAAGCGCAGGGGGCTACGCCTCCTTCTTCCCCCGGCCTCACCAGAGCTGCCTTAGCTGACATTTTCAAGGAACAGGAAACTGAGAGTCAGGAAAGCGGAGGTCTTCTACCGGGGTCTTGCCATTTTGCATGTTCCGAGTCAGTCACTGGTTAACTCTGAACTTCAGGTTCCTCGGTAATTAGAGATTATAAACAAAGGGACATCTTTACAGCCTATTCCAGATCTGAGACTCTAACAGCCAAATTCTTTTCGCTTCCTTTCTTCCCCCTCTTCTTCGTCTTCTGTCCCCTCTCTTCTCCCAGCTGTCTTCTTAACCACCAGGCTACCCGAAACTCTTTTCCTCCTGGTTAGCGTCTGCGCAAATAGGCGTGGAAGATAAATTTTGACCCAGCTTAGCAGCCGTAGTCAGTCAGGAGTGCCGGCGCGGGGAATTGTGGGAGAAGATGGCAGCCGCTGCGCAATCCCGGGTTGTCCGGGCTCTGCCAATGTCACGTAAGTGTCCCCGGGAACGGCGACCCCTGATCGGGATTCCGAGACGGGGATCTAAGGTTTTGGGAGTGGCGCCGTGCTGCAGCGGTCACGCAGACTTCCTAGGCACTCTGGTTTTTCTAGGTCTGGAACTGCCTCTGGTTTCTCCTTTTGCTTTCCACTTCCCCGGCTTACATACTCAATTGTACATCTTGGGAGGGGACAAAAGATCTTGAGCAGTGGGAAGCGAAGAGAAGAAAGCAGGGGGTACGTAAGGGATCGAGAGAATCAGAGTTCTGATATGGTTGTAAGGGTTTAGGGTTCTGAGAAATATTTGTATGGGGCAGGGGGAGGAATCTGTAAGGTAGCGAAAAAAGGGTACTGACGAGAGGTTTTCTTGGATTGAGTTTATGACCTTGTGCAAACCCTTAATAGGTCTCAATTCAGATTCTTCATGGCACTATGGAAATGATAATATTACAATACCAGGGAGGCTCTGATAAGATTAAATAAGCTAATGTTTATAAAAGCATCCTTTTAACCAAAAGCGTCTCTACGGATGTAGAATGTGTTGGGCCGAGTGCCTTGGGGTCTGGGGAGAGAAGGATGTTTGAGAAGAGAAGAATCAGGAGCTTGGTGGAAAGGAAAGTGAATAATAATGAAGGCTCTCATAGAATTTGTTAGCATTATTTGTTTTCTCTCTAATCTGATTGGATCTGCTCCCAGTCCTCAAATTGGAAACATACATTTGCCCTTCCACTCGCTAAAAAGCCGGGCAATTAGAAATACTGTTATACTTTATTATTATTCTTTCACTCTCTACTCTTCCACAAATATATTCCAATCAAACTCCAAAAGTTGTATTTGTTTCTTAGTGTATTTTAAACTTACAGAATATCATTTGCTTTCAGAATTGGCTCATGTCAGAATCACTCGTAGAGCTTTATAAAAAATAGAAATTAAGACTGATTGTAGAGCGATTGAATCAGAATTTGTGAGATTAGCTTCTTGCACCTAAAATTTTTAAAAGCATCACAGATAGGTTTGATCTTCAGTCTAAGGCAAGGATTAGGAGTTTACAGGATCCTCTTTTTTTTTTTTTTTTTTTTCCATCATGGTTAGAACTCCTGCATACCACTGGGAAGGTGGTGGTGCACATCACTTAACAGTGGATAGTTTCGTAGTCACAATGTCTTTGCAAAAGCATTTGCTGGTTCTTGTTAAACTATTACATTTGTATGAAATAATGTAGATTGTGAATAGTAATCACTGTTTATTGAGTACCTGCTATCTGCCATATCCAGTTCTAGGTATTTTAATTAATTTTCTCTTTTAACCTACCTTCCTCTGACACCATAGCTTGTGTTCTTAACCACTCTCTGTTATTATGTGGTAAAGTAGGTTTTTGAGTAAATTCTGGAGAGGCAAGTCTAGTATGTAAAATAATCCACACACTATAGGACAGAACTGTGTAAGACAACTGTATATAGTTAAGCATGGCAAGACTATTATATATCACAGGAAATCATAAAAGGGAAAGATCATCATTTCAGGTACTGAAGGAAGATTGGAAGACGAGTGGAGAATTGTAGTGCTCCCATTGATCTCTTTAGGGCTGTTATGATCTGGAAAGTCTTCTGGGAAAGACAAGTGGGTGAGAATGGAGTCATGAAGTATTCAAGAGGCAGTGTAATGACTACTGGTATATCTGGGTTAGTGGAAAAGGAGATTGAATGGGTTAGATGGGATCAGACAGTGGAGAACTTTGAAAGCCAAGCAGAGTTTAGACCAGTAGTCTCCAAAGGGAGTTGTGCAAGAGGACCTAATAAGTTATGGAAATATAATATTAGAACTTCTAAAAACTCTTTTCTATAGTAACAGTAGCTAACACTTATGTAGTTTAAACTGTATGCCAGACACTATTCTAAGTAATACATGATTTATAATGCGTATATCATATTTCTACTATGTAGAGCATGCATATAATTTTTTAAATAAATACTTTAAAAAACTTAATGCACTGTGCAAGCAAATATGTTGCAGTAGGAAACCAATGTAGGTTTTTAAGCAGAGAAATATAATGAATATATTGTTCTTCTAACAGTACCCATAATAAATGGAAGAATGAGATGCTGGAACCAAACAGAATAATAATTTATATTTATTGAGCACCTACTATTTGCAAGGCACTGTGACAGCTGCTTGCCCATATGTTATTAATTCTCATCAACCCTTTAAATTGTCAGCTTCATGAAGCCAGGGTTTTGTATTTTACTGTGATAGTCACAGTTTCTAGAATAATACTTGGCCCATAATTATTAAAAAAACAAAAACAAAAACAAATAGCCATGTGAGGTTAGTGTGACATTACCTTCTGAGAAATTTCAAAGTAATAAAAGTAAAAGCAACTATTATTCATGGAATGCTTAATATGCTCTGGGTAATGTACTAAATGCTTTTTGTCTAATCTAATCTTGCGTCCAAGATTTACATCTAATCTTCTTAACAGTCCTTTGAGATATTAATTCCTTAACTCTAGTAATTCTTCCCAGTTCACTGACTCTGCCATCTTTTCCCTGTCTTATCCTATGTCCTCACTTCCTTATTCTAATCATTCTCTTTTATGCATTCTTAACTCCCCAGCCCAACTCCCACTGTCATAAAAAACACTGACCCTGATTAAACAAAACTTTCCACATAATTAGCTGCCTGCCACTAAGCAGTGGAGAACGGGGCTAGGGAAAACTCCAAACTAATTGGCTATGTTAAATTCATGCATACAAATCTCAAGTAGATTTTCAGTGCTACATTTTTATAGGAAATCAGATGAGAACAGTCATTTTCCCACCATAAACTCTAATAGTTGATATGTGATCATTCTTTGCCTTTTCTCTTATTACAGTGGGTAAGCTCCTTCTGCTCTCTTCTGTGGCCAGTTCCTTCACTTTGCATTTGATCTCATCCTCTCTCAACTATTCATTCCCTTTCCGGAATCAGGTATTTTCCCCCCTCTACTGTGGAAATCCTGTCATTTCCATCAGCACAAAAATGTTAACAGATATTTAAAACAAACAAACAAACCTGTCCTTGTCCTTGTGTTTCTCTAGTCCAATTTCTCGTTCCTCAGAAGGATTATCCATACTCCTCACCTGCTTACTTCCTTGCCTCACAGCCACTCTTTTGTTTACTCCAGTCTGGCTTTCAGTCCCACAAATCCAATAAAATTGCCCTTATTTATGCCACCTACATCCACATCCTCCAGATTCTGTGGTCCTCTGTTCTCTTTCTACTTCACTTTCAGCCTTTGGTAAAGTTAACTATGCTCTTCTTGAAACACTTTCTTTTTTGGTTTTTAGATTCTGTTTCCTTCTGCGTTTTTTTCCTACCTCACAGGACTGCCTTTTAATCTTTACTGGCACTTTGGGCTAGTTACCAACCTTATCTATAAGGTGGTGATAAAGGTAGCATTAAAAAAAGATAATACCTATGAAGCACTTAGAATAATGCTGGACACCTGCTAAGAGCTATTTAAAGTTAGCTGTTAATATGATGTTATTATTTCGTTATTATTATGTATGTGTTCTATGATGTTTACTTTTAATTTCTGTCACTATTAGTGAGCTAGGCTATTTCTCCAATTCCATACTTTTGGATAGGGAAGAAAAATGGCTTTTGGCCAGAATACCACTGGAAAGTCATCCTTAGAAAACAAACACAGATTTTCTAAAGGAAGCCCTGTTTGTCTCTTTCAGATCTCCTCAAATGTACAAATGCTAAACTCCAAAGTTTCTTGATTGGAGCAGAAGTGTGTTAGCACTGTAAACCTTTTTGTTTTTACTTACATGAAAGTCGAGGAGCTAACTCTAAAATTCTACTCTAAAAAGTTAGAAGAGACTTGAAAACTAGAGTGTATCCAAAAGAGATTCACATTCCTACCATATGAAGAATATTTGACAGGACAGGAAATGTTTAACCTGGAGAAGAAAATATTTAGTGGGGATATAATTGCTACACTTAATTGTAGAAGAGAGATTAGACTTGTTCTTTGTCATTCTGGAGGAGCACAGGACTAAAAACTTCTGGGAAGCAGTCACTGATTCCCGTTGTGGTAGAACTTTCGTTCTGTTATGGCTCAAAGCAGAATGGACCGCTACAGGAAGTAGTGAGTTTCCAACTCTGCAGGTGTTCAGGCAAAAGCCAGATGGTTCCTTTGCACACATGCTATAGAGAAGATATAAGCATTGGTGAATGAACTTTGAGGGTCCATTCTAGTACCAAGAACCTCAGTCTATGAAAAAGAAATGGGATATTTGACAAAATTCTTGCTGTTAAGCTTTCTAAAAGGCAGAACATCTTTCCTCAAGCACTTCACTCCTTTTATCATTATTTGTGATGTTATTCAGTGGTTTTTATTATAAGTCTCAACTATTGATGCATTCTTTTTTTTTAATGTTCTGTATTAATAATCCTCTGCTTCCAGCCGATATCAGCAACTTTGTTTTTCATTAGTCACCAGTGTCAGATTCTGTTCCAGGAGAGTCTTTTGTGTTGCCCTGTGCTAGGCTTATACATTATACCTCTGCATTGTTATGTGTTTCTCATGGAATTCTGTCCTTTCTTTTTTTCCTCTTTAAGACCTTTCTCAAAACATTTTATCCAGGAATCCTTCCTCATGGTAATGTGATTTAGTGCTCCTTTATTACGTATTCTCAGTTCCTTTCACCATATGGGCTTGTACTTTCCTACTTTGTGACTGTTTAATGTGTTTTTTAAACAATGTGACTTATCTTTTTAGGTAAATTACATTGTATAGAGTAGGGAATATATTTCCTCATGTCCTGTGGATTCTGTTGTAGTATTTTGTGTTTATTATTGCTTTTGATAGTTAAATTACTAAAGTACTGATAGAAAAATAGTGTTACAAGTTTTTAGGGAAAGGAGCTATTTGTGTTCACAGTTTTAAAAATATTAATATTTGCCATTGTTGTATACTTCGGGGTTTTGTTTAAGGTTCTGCCATTACTGCAGTAGCCACATCAGTGTGTCATGGCCCACCCCATCGCCAGCTTCATCATGCCATCATACCTCATGGGAAAGGTGGACGTTCCTCATTCAGTGGGGTCGTGGCCACTGTGTTTGGAGCAACAGGATTCCTGGGCCGATACGTTGTCAACCACCTTGGTAAGTGAAGTTCCTTGAGCTCATATGCTCCATTGCCACCGATTAGGATTGCCTGATGAGAAGCTATGAGCTATGTTTCTCTTCATTTTAACAGCATTATTAATTACTCCTATCTTGGATGTATGTAATTTTTATTTGTTGTGACATTAAGAGCACACTCATGCTCCTATATAGGAATTATTAAGATGGGAATAAGGGACTCTGAAAAGCTATGGCATCCTTAGCATGGCAAAATATTCCTTTTGTCAAATATAATATCAATTCACATACTATATTAGAATTTAAATATTTACCAAATCACAATTGTATAATATATCCACGTTATGTTAATGTTGATCCTTTTTTAATCGATTCTTTTAGGACGCATGGGGTCGCAGGTGGTTATACCTTATCGGTGTGATAAATATGACATCATGCACCTTCGTCCCATGGGTGACCTGGGCCAGCTTCTGTTTATGGTAAGGGCCTTTATGGCTGAGTGAAGTTGACAAATATACATTGCTAAGATCATTTTTAGGAGTAAGAGGGCTGATTGATTGAAATTGACAAATATAAATTACTAAGATCATTTTTAGGAGTAAGAAGCAGATAAAGCAGTAATTTCATCCTAAAAATGAACCAGAGGCACTCTCTATTCACAGGTCATTCTTTCAGGTGGGTTCCCACATCTTCTTTGTCATGCAAGCTCTAGACTGGCAGTTGGCAAACTTTTTCTGTGAAGGGCCAGAGAGTAGATATTTCTGGCTTTGCAGGCCATAGTCTTTGTCATAATTACTCAGCTCTGCCTTTGTACCTGGAAGTAGCCATAGACAATATGTACACAAATGGGCATGACTGCATTTCAATAAAGTTGTATTTACAAAATTAGGCTGCAGGCCAGATTTGGCCTATGGACTATAGTTTGCCGATCCCTGGTCTAGACTTGTTCTGTCTAGTGTGGTAGCCACTGGCTACATGTGGCTCCTGAGCACGTGAAATGTGGCTGGTCTGAATTGAAATACGTTGTGTGTATAAAATATGCAGGAGATTTCAAAGACTCAGTATGAAGGAAAGAATATCCAATATATCATTAATAGTTTTTGTATTTGTTACATATTAAAATAATATTTTGGATATATTAGGTTAAATAAAATATATCATTAAAATGAATTTCACTTGTTTCTTTTTCACTCATGTGCCTCATGTTATATTTCTGTTGGATAGTGCTCTATAGACATTAAAAAATCACAAATAGGGTGTTTTATAATTTGGTTATTTAGCATAGATTTAACTTAGAACAGTCCTTTCTGAGCATTCCCTTTGTCATTCTGTAATCTACAGGTTCTTCCTTTAGGCCAATAGTTGCCAGTGGGGTGAGGCAGGGGAAAGAGCATAGAGGAAAGCCATGAAGGGAGTGATTAATGGAACTCTTTGGTTATCACAGTGATTGGGGAGCCATCCTGGTTATTAGGTACATGCCAGGGATGCTAAATGTCCTACAGAGCACAGTCCCTTTCCACAAAGAGTTGTGCAGCCCCAAATGTCTGCAGCCAAGCTATTGATTGCTATACTCTCTGGCCTTGATGCTTAAGTCTACTGGATCTTATAGCTGACGTTCTACTTGTATTGTCCTGTAAGGAATGGAGCTTTTCCAGTTACACATTTTCCCTTTTAAAAGATATGTGCTAAACATCCTTACTATCTCTGGTAATATTCATACAAATTATTTGTAATCCCTTTAAATTTTAACTTACTTTCACTTCATTTTCACATTTTTATTTATTCTTTATCCAGTGTTCACAAGCTAAGTATAATATTATAAATTTCTTATTTCTAAAATGTTTTCTTCTCCAAAATCTTACTATTGAATATCTTCTTGGTATTAAAGTTACAGAACCTTAGCTTATTCCTAGTTCCTTGTGCTTTAAGTTTATTGGTCATCTTGTCAGAGCCTCAAAATTGACGTATTTAAAAAGTGATAGGTGAAAACTTTTGAACCATTGGAATTAACCAAATGACATCTATTCTGTTTTTTCTAGAGAGATTTATTTTCTGAATTTCTGGCATTGACCTGTGCTCAGCATGTCTGGATGAGCACGACCACAGGGAACTCAGAGGCTTATATGTTTAGCGTTTGTTTATGTGTTTATTTTCGAGAAGGACTATTTGGGGTGTGAGGCACTGATTCCTTCGCGTTAGTCTTTGTTTGCAACTCTTGTGTGAATGGCCACTTGTTTTACCTACCTGACTGCGCCCTTGGCCTTATTCCTGAGAATTTGGTTTTCTTCTAATATGTCACTCACTGCTGTAGATTTTATGTATATTTCACCTAATCCTCATAATAACCTCATGAGGTAAGTTGTGTTTTCTAATTTTACATGGGGCTTGAAGAGATAATTTATAGAAAGTTAGTACATGGCAAACTGAGATTTGCATTCCTGTCTGTTTGACTCCAGAGCCACTGTTCTAAACTGTGCCTTTTAGCCCACTTTCTATCATCAGTCGTAACTGGTTCTTTCTGCTGGGGCTTCATCTTTTTGTTCTTGAATCTCATTTTATAGTTTGTTTTCTCTTTTCTAAGTTAAATAGCAGTTTAGTTCTCTCTCTGTCTCTCTTTCTCTCATCCCTGCTTTCTTTCTCTTTTCTCATCTTGCCCCATCTCCCTCCCATTGCACTGACCCATGTATGTGCACTTACTATTTGGTGCTAAGAAATTCTTATTATTCGTTATCTTCCATTGAAATGCTTATAGAAACCAGCCCTTGGCTCACCCTAAAGTTTTAGGTAGTTATTTTAGACTCTTGTTTTCATGTTGTTAATGTAGAAATGACTAGATCTGGGGTTATAAAACAGGAAAGAATTAAAATGAAATAAGAAAATAGTAATGAATGGCCCCAATTAATACTAACCTTTAAAAGACACTCTCCCTATCTTCAGTCTGTAAGTGGTTGCTGTCAATAAGGGAAGGTCTCTGTCTCCCAAATGATCCTCGGTTCTTTGGCTATATTTCAAGAGAGGAGACTTGGTTTACTGGGGTTTTTTTTTTTTTTCAAACTTAGTGGGCAGTAGTTCAGTGGACAAAAACAAATATGCTCCGTTAAAAGTCAATAGCCTCCTTTCTAGCTCTGTCATTTGATTACCTGAGTAAAATGTACTTTTACATGTTTGTCTCCAAAAGAGTGAGAGAATCAGCAGGAAGTTTGAGATGTCCTGTCTGTTCTAATAGGTGGAGCTTGTATGAAATGGCACCATATTATGACTACAGCACATGACCTATTTTGAAACTTGCATCGAGGAGGCTACAGAAGTGTTGAATGCCGAGGTATACCCCGCTATGTTTTCATCTGATTGCCTTCTGCTATTATAGGAATGGGACTCGAGAGATAAAGATTCTATCAGACGAGCAGTGCAACACAGCAATGTGGTCATCAATCTTATTGGACGAGACTGGGAAACCAAGTAAGTCTTTGACTCTCGTTTCTTCTTTGCTAAAGTCTTTCTTAGGGTTAATAGACCTTTATTGGGCACCTTCTATGTGCCACCTGTCACAGTGACATTTTCAATTAGTTAATAAGGGTTGGTTGAACAATCACTTGCATACCCAGTAACACCCCTTAGGAGATGTAGCTGGCATTAAGTCTGGTATAAGTCAGCAGTGTGATATACTGCCCATAAAAAGCCAGTAGATAGTATTGATGTGGCTGATGTTGGTCCTGTGCTTGGATTAGTCCCTATGGGATGGGGTTAGGAAATAGGATTTTGCCTGTTCTGTTGCTTAGCAAGCTGAACATTGGTTTCCCTCATGTAGACAGTGTTCTAGGTGTCTTTTCTGCATTGTTAATTGGAGATGGCATGAGGACTAATTTGAACAGTTCTTTGTGTGGGTTGATTATTAGCAAATATTGTTTTAATCCTATAGTCCACAACACTTTGTTTACACCTCATTTTTTAGCGTTAATTAAAGTTTGACTTAGTTTTTAATATACGTCTTTCTTATCAAATATTTTATAAATTCTTTGATGACTTGGAGGTCTTATTCAACTTTTTATCCCACCTAATGATTAACATAGTATATTTTACAGAGTAAACATTTAGTTAATGTTACTGAATGAAATTGTTGACTGGGTATTTTCAATTTCTTCCTTTTACCTTGAGGGAAACAAAGTCCCAGGGGTACAAAGTGATTCCCAACACTTCCCTCCTCCCCAGCAACCAGTATAGCTAGGTTTCTTTAACGGGCCTCAGTGTCAAGATTCCTTGATAATGCAGAATATGATGTATACTGGATTTATTATAACTTAGAGTAGGCCCTAAATTGTGTAAAGTAATGACAGTGCTCAGACCTATAAACTTTTTTTAAAAAAAATTGTGGCTTAAACACTTTTCTTTTTTAAGATATTTTTTTAGAAATTGAGACAGGGTTTTATCATGTTGCCCAGGCTCATCTTGAACTCCTGGGCACTAGTGATTCACCTGCCTTGGCCTCCCAAAGTGCTGGGATTACAGGCATGAGTCACTACACCTGGCCAATTTTAGCTTTAAGTTAAGTTACTGCTGTTTAAAAGTTTAAGTAGCATGAATTTCAGTACTATTATGAAAACCAGCTTTGAGATCCTGCGTCTGGAGTTCTTAACCAGTCCTTTTATTTTTTTTTCTTCCAGATACTTTGATTTTGCGGATGTTTATGTGAAGATTCCTCAAGCAATTGCTCAAGTGTCCAAGGAAGCTGGAGTTGGAAAATTCATCCATGTTTCACATTTGAATGCAGATGTGAAAAGTTCCTCCAAATATTTGAGAAATAAGGTAAGTAACAAATTGATTGGGGAAGTGGTTCACAGAGCCAGAGTTTCTTGGCCCATTTGAAACATGATTTCAGTGAGAAGGGTTTATCATCGACATATCTAGAATTAAAAGGTTTTCTGATTCCCTGCACCCAGAACTAGGTGTGTATATGTGATGTTTCGACATTTTGGTTGAGTGCCTTCTGTTTGCAGGAAACTGTGCTAAGGGGCTTCAGAGTTGGCTAGACCATGTTACTAATGGAATTCAGATACTTAAAGTTTCTTTGAGGCATCACTGAATTGCACAGACACCATCACAGAAGGCAGAATATCATTTCTGCCGAAGGAATCATACTTGTGTCATCTACCATGGTTAAAGGACCATCTGTCTTTCTCACCCCTTGCATTGTAATGGTTTTATGCCACTCTTAAAGGGGCGATGTGAAGGCTCAGAATGATAGGGATTAATATTTGCCAGGGAAGATGCCTATTCAGATAGTACTTACACTCCTTTTACCCCCAGAAATGCCATACCTTGAGGCTGACCACTCTAGTTTGGAGTCAGTCTGTAACCTGAGTGAACCGTCTTCATTATTAGGGACCCAGAGGGATATCAGTGTCTGTCAGTGCCCTTAACATTTGGGTTCTGCCATATGGAAACCAGTTTTGAGTCATGCAAATAAAGACAACAGAGTTCCTTCATAATGGTTCCACGTTCTTGACTCACCACATTAATTTACTGGATAAACTATTCATGAAGCACCTACTATGTATCATATATTGTGTTAAGCACTGTGGATACAGTAGTAAATACAATAGACTTGGTCCTAGCCCATATTAAGTTTCTAGTCCAAATTAAGTTTCCACTCCACAGTTTGCTACTTTGCAACATTTGGTACAACTGGAATTATTTTTTAATTAAATATTTATTTATTTAAATATTTAAATATTTTTAATTAGAAAATAATTCCAGATGTACCAAATGTTGCAAAGTAGCAAACTGTGCCAAAGGGGCATATAATGGGGGAAAGAGGGCACTTTATCAGTTAGGAGCATTTAATTACTAGCATCAGAAAATCCAATATAAGCTGGCTTAAAAAGGGGGAGTTTATAGGCCCATGTATCTATAAATAATAAAACAAATAATTAAAAAATAAATAAAAAATTTTAAAAAATAATTTAAAAAATCTAGCAATAGGGAGCCTTAGCCACAGATTGTGCCAGGGTTTGTTAGGGCTCCTTGTTTCTCTGACTCTCAGCTTTGACTTTCTCTTTGTGTGGCTTTGTTTCTCATAGTCACAGAGCTAATATAGCACATCCAGGTCTCACATTTTCATGGTATGCTGAAGAAAGAGAGAAAATAAGAGACTGGATACTTGTGCCTGCCTCTGCTGAAACATTCATAAAATCATCTGAATTTCATGGCTGTTTGGAAGGGAATGGGAGGTGTCAGCAGTGAGGAAGAGGGGAGTCAGAGATGTCCAGCCCTCTGGCTAAAGCCGTTGGGTGGATGATAGTACTGTTGAGTAAGATGGAAAATATTTGAGAGGGACTAGGCTGTAGGGCAGTGACTCTTAGCCTTAGTTTCACATTCGAACCACTGAAGGAGTTTTTAAAAACTGATGCCTAGGCTGTTCTTCAGACCAATTAAAACAATCTCGGGGATTGCAACGTTGGCACCAGTATTTTTTAACTCTCTCTAGGTAATTCCGAGTGTAGCAAAGATTGAGGAGCACTATTTTACTTGAGAGAATGGAAGATACTTGAGTTTTGGACTCGTGTTTCAGGTGTATTTCAGATGTGTGTCAATCTTCCAGGTAACTGGTACATAGGGTGTCTGATCCTGGAGGTCAGAAGAGAGGACTGGGTTGGAGACAGAAATGTAGTTACCAGCATGGTTGTTAATTGAAGTAATGGGAGGGGATAAGATGGCTGGAGATTGAGAAGAGAGTTTTGGATTGGGCCCAGAACATACCAATGGTTAATGATCTGGTAGAGGAGGAGATACCTGCAGAAACCCAAACCAATCAAAGGCTAAGCAGGACATGATAAGGCAGAAGGGAAACCAGGAGAGTACAATGCTAGGGAAGCCAAGGCAAAGCAGTCTCACAGGAGGAAGTGAATACTTATGAATGCCATTGAGAAGTCATGCAAGATGATGACTGTACAGTCACCTTGAATCTATTGACATGGAGGTCATTGGTGATCTTATCAAGAATAGATTTAGTGCAAAGGTTGAAGCAGAATCCAGAGTGCAGGTGAATGAAGAGTGAGTTGGAACTGAGGCAGTGGGAATGGCAAGGGTAGGTACATTTTCAGGTAGCCTAACTGGCAAGAGAAAGATGAAAGACTGAGAGAATAGAAGCTGGAGAAGGATGTGGAGTTGGAATTTTTTTTTTTAAGGTAAAGGATCTACATTGTTTAAATGCCGGTAGGGAGATACTGGTAAAAAGAGTGAGGCTGAAGATGTGGAAGAAACAATAAATTGGACAGGGTCCTGAGAAAGTGAAAGGACATGAGCTCTAAAGCATTGGAAGTGATGCCATTCCTCCCTTCAGGTAAGAGAGGAGGAGAAAATTGTGCTTTATATACCTGAGTTTGTAGATTTAGTGGTGAGAACTTGAGGTGGTTTTTCTCTACTGTCTTATACTTTCTCTTTTATTAGAAGGTGAAGTCATTTACTGGAAGGAAAAGAAAGGGATGTCTGAAATTTGGATAGAATAGAAAATGTTTCCAATTGTCTCATGGGAAAGTAAATTAATTAGAGGAAAACACTATTTTTGGGACATGTTGAGGGCCCAGTTAAAATTGTTGGCATGAATTTATAGTGGTACCCATTCGTGATTTTTACTTATTTCTTTTCCTGCCAGCTGTTCAAGGCAGTGGGAGTGCATGGCCCAAGGAAGGCAAATGGATTTCTAGGATTAGAATTTTGAATGGTGGCTAGAATAAAGGACAAAGGGACAAGGTAGTTTACAATATTGGCAAGAGAATGTTGAGAAGATGGCCTATGGACCCTAATCTGGAATTCAGAAGGGAGAACAGGAACAGTCAGAAGGGTTGATACAGGGGAAGCAGAATCGGTGCACTAGGATTCTTGAGAAGGCTGAGAAACAGGTATCCCAGGAGCAGATGGACAAAGAACAGGCAGGCTAGAAATGGTAGGAAATTGCCATCCGAGAGTAGGATGCCTTCATTTAATACCTCTGAAAAAGAGCAATTCCAGTTGTTGATATGGCATATGGTGTAACTGAGTTAAGAGTGTTAGAAGTGGAACGAAGAGGAGGTCGTTGGAGTTGAGCAGCTCAAGAACCTGAGAAGTCCCAGCCCACTTGGACATTTATGTCACCCCCAGTGGTAGTGAAAGTAGAAAGGAAGACTGAATTAGGTGCCGATATCTTCATCAAACAAGAAGACTTGCCTAGGAGGCTGGTAGATGATAACAAGTAAGGATGGTACAGCAGTTGAGATTAGGAAGATTGACTCTATCCGCAACGTCCTCTGGATATATACATACTGCTGCCACTTCCATTATTTTAGCCCACTGCCACCATACTCTCCTTTCTCAAACAGACTGCTAGATTGTTGACACAAACCAGAGAATCTGTAAATAGAAGGCAAAATGGAGGCTGAAAAAATTCTACTTTGATTTTTTTCCTTCAATGTAAGCTTCCCTTAAAATAAAAAATGGGAAGAAACCCAACCAAAGCTATAAGGTGCAGGACATGTTTGTGGATTATATTTTTTAAAAGCTCTGCGTAACTGAGTTTTATGAATCACATGATGACCTTTATCTGGAGGAATATATCACCTTTGAAATACAAGTCATGTCTTAATGGCGGTAAGAATGGAAGCTTTATTCACTTGTCTCAAAACTCAAAACAGGTTTGTTGGTTGTTGTTTAGGCTGTTGGAGAAACAGTAGTGAGAGAAGCATTTCCGGAAGCTGTTATCATAAAGCCGTCAGACATCTTTGGAAGAGAGGATAGATTCCTTAATCATTTTTCAAGTACGTATTCTTTCTTAATGATAGAAGAGATGGATACTGATTAACCAGGTTGAAGTTGAACAAGCTAACAGCTTTCTCTGATTGACGGACTAAGGTTATATGTTTTCTGCCTCAGTTGCCTTTTTCTCCCCTAAGGTTATATTTTCATAGTCTTTTGTATTCCATATCAAAAGAAGCAACTTAGATTAATGAAAAGAGCATGAACTTGGGAGTCAAAGACTTGAGTTTAAGTCTTGGCTCAACTAACTCTGTGACCTCGACAAATATTAGAAGATCACAGGGTATAGTTTCTCCATCCTAAGATCCTCTGTGTTACACATATTTATTCTTACCCTCCTACCCACTCCCACTCCAGACAACCACTGATCTTTTTATTATCTCTATACTTTTGCCTTTTCCAGGATATTATATATATGGTTAGAATCATACACAGTATATAGCCTTTTTAGGTGTACTTCTTTCACTTAGCAATGTGCATTTAAGATTCTTTCATTTCTTTTCATAGCTTTATAGCTCATTTTTTTATATAGCTGATAGTATTCCATTGTGTGGATTCCATTGTATTGGATGTTTGTTTATCCAATTTAGATGTTTCTATCTTGTTTTTCCCCCTGTTGGCTTGTGTCCACGTAACATCTGTAATAATTTCTACTTTAAAAGTTTTGTGGTAAAATATACATACTATAAAATTTGCCATCTGCTATGGGCTGAATTGTTCCCCCTCATAATTTGTATGTTGAAGCCCCAACACCATTGTGAATTTATTGGGAGTTAGGGTTTTTCGAGGTAGTTAGGGTTAAATGAGGCCGTAATGGTGAGGTCCTAATTCAGTAGGATTGGTGACCTTATAAGAAGAGGAAAAAAGAGAAATCTGTCTCTCACTGTGTGCACATACTGAGGAAGGACCCTGTGAGGACACAGCAAGAAATCAGCTGTCTCCAAGCCAGAAAAAGAGCCCTCACCGAGAACCACACTGGCTGGCACTTTGATTTTGGATTTGCTAGCCTCCAGAACTGTGAGAAAATACATTTTTATTGCTTAAGCCACCCAGTCTATGTATTTTGTATGGTAGCCTGAGCAGACTAAAATAGATTTTGGTACCAAGAAGAGGGGTGCTGCTGTAACAAATACCTAAAAATATGAATGGGCCTTTGGAACTGGGTTACAGGTAGGGGCTAGAAGAGTTTTGAGGGACACAGTAGAAATATGGATGTTAAGGGTGATTTTCGTAAGGTCTCAGATGGAAATGAGTAATATGTCATTGGAAACTGGAGGAAAGGTGATCCATATTATACAGTGGCGAAGACATTGGCTGAACTGTGTTCTAGTGGAAGGTAGAATTTGTGAATGCTGAAATTGTTTATTCAGCTAAGATATCTAAGTACGAAGTGTTGAAGAAATGCCTTGGTTTCTCCTGTTTATAATTAAGTACAAAAAGAGAGAAAGATGAAGAAGGACTTGTTAGGCAAAAAGGAACCAGAACCTGAAGATTTGGAAAATTTTCAGCTTATCCATATTGCAAAAAATTAGAAAGCTTGTTTTAAAGAGAACACTAAGAGTGTGGCTGAACAACCATTTGAGGAAGAGATTGTGGACGTGACTAGCAAACTAATAAGCCATCTCAGGAGAAGCCAGGAACAGAGATGAGATTGTATCAGCAAAGTCACCAGCAGTTTGAACTAGAAGGGACAGAATGAAAGAAACCTGTCTGACTTCTTATATCCGACAGGACCAGACCATAGAGCTATTTGGCCGTGAATGTGAGCTGTTTTTCAAGAAAAGGGAAGAGTGACTCCAAAAATGATTTAGAGATGTTCAGAACTACCTCTTTGGTTTCAAAGGATGGGGCCATTGCCTCAGTTTAAACAGACCACATGGTCTTTGTCAGAGGCCTTGGAGGTAGGATCACCCAGAGTCTTGGCGGTAGAGCTGCTTGGTCCTTGAGGCTACAGCCTCCTGGAACCTTTGAGGTGTGACCCTCTGCTCAGCAGAGCTGCTGCGGTGGGACTGCTGCCCCAGTGGCTCCTGGAAGTTAGGACCACTGTTTCAGTGTCTTCTGAAGGTGAGACCACCATCTCTGTGAATCTAGAAGGCAAGGTGTCTAGGCAAAGAGGATTGTTCTTGAGCCTTAAAATCTAATAGAATTTACCTTGCCAGGCTTTGGACTTGTTTGGGACTTTTCACCCTTTCTTCTTTCTTATGTCTTTTAGAATCGGAATGTCTATCTTATGCCTGTCTCACCACTCTATTTTGGAAGCACATAACTAGTCTGGTTTCACATGTTCATAGTTAGGAATTTTGCCTCAGGATGACCCGCACCTTGAGTNCTTATGCCTGTCTCACCACTCTATTTTGGAAGCACATAACTAGTCTGGTTTCACATGTTCATAGTTAGGAATTTTGCCTCAGGATGACCCGCACCCTGATTTAGATGATATTTGGATGAGACTTTGGAGTTTAGAGTCTTAAGAGTAAGACCGTTTTAACTATTTACCAGAGTACAGTTCAATAGGATTAAGAGATTTACATTGTTGTACTACCAATCCCCAGAACTTTTTCATCTTGTGAAACTGAAATTCTGTACCCTTTAAACAACTCCCTGTTCCCTGTTTCCCCCCAGCCCCTGGCAACTACCATTCTTCTTTTGGTTTCTATGAATTTGACTACCTCATATAAGTGGAATCATACAGTATTTGTCTTTTGGTAGCTGGCTTATTTGACTTAGCATAGTAACGCTCAAGGTTCATCCATGTTGTACCGTGTGATGTGATTTCCTTCCTATTGAAGGCTGAATAATATTCTGTTGTATGTGTATACCACATTTCGTTTAATAAGCCATCCATCAGTGGTTACTCAGGTTGCTTCCCATTCCCACTTTTGGCTTTTGTGAATAATGCTGCAGTGACTATGGATGTACGAAGTATCCCTGATTTCAGTTATTCAGGGTATGTACTGAGAAGTGGAATTGTGGTAGGTATATCTGTTTTTACTTTTTGGTTGAGCCACCATAGTGTATTCCATAGTGGCTGCACCATTTTACATTGCCACCAACAGTGCCCAAGGTTTCCAGTTTTTCCAGATCTTTGTCAACATTTGTTATTTTCTATTTTTTTTGATAGTAGCCATCCTAATGGTTGTAAGGTAGTATTTCATTATGTGTGTTTTTTGTTTTTGTTTTTTTGAGATGGAGTCTTGCTCTATCACCTAGGCAGTGGTGTGATTGCAGCTCACTGAAGCCTCAAACTCCTGGGCTCAGGGGATCCTCTTGCCTCAGCTTCTTACATAGGTGGGACTAGGTGTGTACCTGGCTAAATAGAGAGAGAGAGAGAGAGAGAAAGAGATTTTTTGTAGAGATAAAGTCTTGCTGTCTTGCCCAGGCTGGACTCAAACACCTGGCTTCAAGCAGTCATTTTGTCCCAGCCTCCCAAAGTGCTGGGATTATGGGCATGGGCTACCTTGCCTGGCCTCACTGTGGTTTTGATTTAGATTTTCCTAACGATTAGGGTGTTGAGCATCTTTTTATCTGCTTGTTGGCTGCTTTATTAATTGGAGAAATGTCTATTTGTGTCCTTGTCCTATTTTTTTTAATTGGGTTGTCTAGTTTTTGTTGTTGAGTTGTAGGAGTTTATTTATTCAGAATATTAAATGCTTATCAGAGATATGATTTGTAAAATTTTCTCATATTTTTTAGTTTGCCTCTTCACTCTGTTGTGTTCTTTGATTCACGGAAGTTTTTAATTTTGATATAGTCCAGTTTATCTGTTTTTACTTTTGTTGCCTGAGCTTTTAGCATTATATCAAAGGAGTCGTTGCCGAGTCTAATGCCATGAAGCTTTCTACTTTTGTTTTTGTCTAAGAGTTTTAGAGTTTTAGCTCTTAGGTTTAGGTCTTTGATTCATTTTGAGTTACTTTTTATATACGGTATGAGATAAAGATCCAATTTTATTCTTTTGCATGTGGATATCCAATATGTTAAGAAGACTATCTTTCTCCATTGAATGGTCTTGGTGCTTTTGCCAGAAATCATTTGACCATATATGCAAGAGTTATTTCTGTCTATTCCATTGGTCTGTATGTTTGTCTTTATTGCCACTGTTTTGATCACTGTACACTGTTTTGATTACTGTGCTTTTGTAATAAGTTTTGAAATCAGAAAGTGTGAGACTTCCAAAAATTTGTTCTTTTTCAAGATTGTTTTTGATTGATTATTTTCAAGATTTGATTTTTAGATTTAGAAGAATCCCTTTAAATTCCATATTATGAATTCTAGGATGGCATTTTCTATATTTCTGCAAATGTAAATAGACATTGGGATTTTGATAGGGATTGCATTAAATCTGTAGATTGCTTTGGGTAGAACTGATGTATGTCTTAGTCCATTTTGTGCTACAACAAACATTGAGTAATTTATAAAGAAGAGAAAGTTATTTCTAACAGTTCTGGAGGCTGGGAAGCTCAAGATCCAGGTGCTGGGATCTGGTGGGGGCCTTCTTGCTGTGTGCTCACCTGTCGCCCAGGCTGGAGTGCTGTGGTGCGATCTTGGCTCACTGCAACCTCTGCCTCCTGGGTTCAAGCGATTCTCCTGCCTCAGTATCCTGAGCAGCTGGGATTACAGGCGTGCACCACCACACCCAGCTAATTTTTTGTATCTTTTTTGTAGAGACAGGTTTTACCATGTTGGTCAGGCTGGTCTCGAACCCCTGACTTCATGATCCACCCATCTCGGCCTCCCAAAGTGTTGGGATTACAAGCATGAGCCACCATGGCTCGCCATTTCTACCCTTAAATGCTTAAAAAAAATTTTTTTTTAACCTAATATTTAAACCACTTGGGATTTGTTTTAGTTTATGGTAAAAACTAAAACATTATCTCACATTTTTTTTCAAATAGCAGAATAATTATGCCAGCACCATATGTCAGCTAACACTTCGTCAGGGCCTTTTACTGGGTTACCTGTTCTGTATCACTTGTCTGTTGATACAGCAACAGAACTCATCTAGATATCAACTAGATAGACAACTCATCTGTCCTGTTGCTGTATCAACAAACGAGTGATACAGCATAAGAATCATAAGGAGGAACAGCTCTGTGTTCCTCCTTAGAATGGGTGCAGCTAGAGTCCAGTCTTGGACATGGTGATGCACTTAGCATTATAGAGCAGACTAGTTGTCAAGCCTTTTGACCTCTTTGTTCTTCATGTTTTTAAATGTTCGGCCTTTTTACTTTCCATGTTCGTTATCTGAAAAGCTAATGACTGCCGTTTGTAAGTGCATTCAGTTCCTCAGAGTCAGCTACATTCACTATATTATTTCTATTATGCACAATAATTAATGTTAATCTTAAGATCGGTGGGTCTTATGCAACTTAAGCCTTCTCAGTATAGTTCTCATTCTTTCTTCCGCTAGATATACGTCGCTTTATTGGTATACCCCTTGTTTCCTTGGGCTGGAAGACAGTTAAACAACCAGTATATGTAAGTACTTGGATGAAGAGGCTCAGAAAGGGGTTTTTGATGAATTCGGATTTGGGTGTCAGGTTTCTGGTTTTGTCCTAATTTAGTAATTCTGTCATTTTCTTTGTCAACTTGTGTCAGCTAGCTGCCTCTCAGTTTACTTAAGAGGTACATGCCTTCTCTGTATCTTCATTTGTTGATTCATTTAAGAAAAATTTATTGAAGCCATAATGTGCTAGACACACCATACATGTCACATGTCACTAGGGAAATAAAGATATTAACTAGATAGACACAAATTTCTGTTCTCAAATTGCCTTCAGTCTGAGGCAGATAAATAAAGCAGTTACCGTACAACGTGCTATTCTAAGGAGAGGGTTTTATGTAATTACATCAGAAGGGTGCCAAATCTAGACTTGGGTCTCAGAATGAAGGACATTTAGGGTAAAACCTTAAAGATGACTAAAGGTAAGTCTGATGCAGGGAGTTGGGGAAGAGTATTGCATGCAGAAGGAACAGTAGGTCCAGGGGCCCAGAGGTGAAAGAGCGTGTTGGATTCCATGTTCGGTTGAACCAATTTTTCTCAGTAGTGGCAGTATTGACATTTTGAGCTAGATAATTCTTTGTTATGGGGGCTGTTGAAGGATGTTTGGCAGCATTCCTGGCCTCTAGCCGCTAGATGCCATTCATACCACCCTCCAGTTGTGACAACTGAAAATGTCTCCAGACGGTTGTCAAATGTCCCCCGGGGGCCAAAATCACTGTTACTACTACCGTTTTTGAAAATCGAAATGGTAGCATATTAGCAATTCCATATGATACAGCTTAATAGTTTGTGATGGTTAATCAGAGCGTTGGGAGGAGTGGTAAGAGATGAGCTTGGCAAGCTGTGGGCAAAGGCAAGTCAGAAAAGCTTCAAGCTATCTGAAGGTAAGTACATTCCTACTGTGGAAAATACTTGGATAGCAGGGATTATTTGAGCTCTTGAGAAGGCTCATTCTTCAGGAAGCTTTCTGTGAATAGATAATGCCATTATTTTAACTTTGTCACATTTTCTTTGTTGAGATCAATGTAGCCTTCTTCCTTTCTCCCTCCTTCCTTCCTTTTTCCCTTCTTTCCTTTCTTCCTGTCTCTCTGTCTCTCATTCTATCTCTTTTTCAACTATTACTTCAACATACATTATAATTTCTTATAGGTCTCAGATGTATCCAAAGGAATTATTAATGCAGTTAAGGATCCTCATGTCAGCGGGAAGACCTTTGCTTTCGTTGGGTAAGTGCTTAGAGTTTTAATTTAAAATTATGCTACTATAATGAAGAAATCAATATCTAACTTAGTTACTAACAGATTTATTTGTTGCACTTTTACAATATCAGAATCTTCCCATTGCTTTCATTAAGTCAGAATTTGAGGGAACCTGAAATCTACTTTAATGAATGATTCTTCTGTTACCAAAGTCTGAGAACCATTGCCCGAGACTATTACATATACTTAGTCCAGTGACCCTTAGGGATGGTTTTGTACAACTCCAGTGATGTTTTTAATATATAAAAGAATATTGCTGTAAATTCTAAAACACAAACAAAACACTTTTAGGGAGTGAGTATGGTTATAAAACCACATTAATTTTGATGGAGTATCGCAATGCCCCCAGAAGCTGAAAATGGGTGCTTTATAGCACAATTACTAGTGCTGTGCAAGATTGATTATTTCTTTTGTGCTCTTTGCTAAAATTTGCTCTCAGAAAAAAAATGGGTACAGTTAGGCTGTGTGACTTACCTGAAATTAGTAAATCATGTCACAGCTAGGCTTAGGACTTTTTTTACTGAATTATCTAAAAGTCACAAAGTAAGACTTCATCTGCCAAGTTGAGAGGTATCAGATTCACCTAGTAAGTGGTTCAGAATCTTGTCATTCTGTGAAGCAACCTAATGACACTTGGCATTCTATGAAAGGTAAGGATCTGGCTCAGTATTTAAGGGATAGCCTAATTCCTAAGAAATATTTGCCTCTAGAGGGAAATGATACTCTTCTCTTTAAGCCGAGAGGCATAGTATGTATTCCCAGAATTATAAATCTATACATTGTTGTGTTCTATTGTTCTTTGGTAAACAGTTTTTTTTCAGTGCAAAAAGCTCTTAGTTTTCCATGTCAACTAACAGCTGCAAAATATGTCTTCCTTTCAGTTTCCAGTTTGGCGCATTAGCATGCAGTCAGTTATATAGTCTAGGGAAGAATTACAAAAAAAAATGTATTCAACACAAGTTTCATAAAATACTAAACACAAAAGACATTAGTTCCAATGAAGAGGTACATGGACTAGAATTTCAGGGAATAAATGAACAGAAATGGCTTGTGAATTTTACTTGCTGCAGCTCTCGATGAGTTGAACATTTTCCTCTTTACCTTTGCCTAGTCACTCTCATCTTGTCTGGGCTCCAGTAAGTTATTCTTCTTTGGCATAGTGATGGAAAAAATAATACTAGACATTGCAGGGTAGATATTTTTCCTTGTGAAATAGTAGATACGCATCAACACATTTCTTGTCTCTTCAGCCCCAGGAAAAAAACTCCCTGATATTTTGAGGCTAAGGCAGAGATATAAGACTGTAATTTTGCTCCTAGGTTTTTTGTAGTTATTAATTATATTATCTTGGTCCATTCTATTTGTCATTCATTCATGAAATACCTATTGCTACACACTCATACACACAACTGTGATAATGAATAAACACATTCAGCAAAATCATGAGGTATAAGATCAGCATAGAAAAATCAATTTCTATATACTAGCAAATGAGCAATTTGAAAATAAAATTAAAATAATTTTATTCACAGTAGCATCAAAAATAATAGAATATTTAAGTATAAATTTACCAATTAAATTTATTATACTTAATAAGTAATAAGACATCCCATGTTCATGGATTGGATGAGTCAGTATGATTAAAATGATAATTTGCTTCAAATTAATCAACAAATTTAACTTAATTCTATCAAAATTCCAAAGGACTTCTTTGCAGAAATTGACAAATTGATTCCAAATTTATATGGTAATGGAAAGACCCACAATAGACAAAACCATTATGTTTCATAGTTTCAAAACTTAATAGCTATGATTCTCAAGATAGTGTGGTACTGACGTAAGAATAGATATATAGATGAATTAACCAGAATTGATAGTTCAGAAATAACTATGGACAACTGCTTTTTGAAAAAGGTGCTATGGCATTTCAAAGGGGAAAGGATAGTCTTTTCAACAAATGGTTTTGGAATATCCACATTAAAAAAAAAGATGAACTCCTATCTTGCACTGTGCATGAAAAAATTAAAATAATTCAGAGACTTCAGTGTAAGAGTTATTAAACTATAAAAATTTTGGATGAAAAATAGAAAATCTTGTAGACCTTGGGTGCTATGGTGTCAAAAGCATAATTCATAAAATTTTAAAAAATGGATACATTAGGCTTCACCAAAATTAAAACTCCGGTGTTTCAAAACACACCATTAAGAAAATGAAAAATCAAGTCACAGATGAGGGGTGGGAAATATTTGTTAATTACATATCTGATAAAGGACTACTATCCAGAATATACAAAGAACTATGAGAACTCAATGAGAAGACAACCTAGTTTTTAATATGAGCAAAAGACACGAATAGGCACATCACCACAGGAGATATATTTAATGGCTAAAAAGCACATGAAAAGATGCTCCATATTACTAGTGAAAATGCAGATCAAAACTATAATGAGATACCAGTTCACAGAGAGAAAATAACAAATGTAGATGAAGACATAGAGTAATAGGAACTTTATACTAAGATTGCTGGTAGTGGTGTAAAATTGTACAGCGACTTTAGAAAACAGTTTAGTATCTTCTTAAAAAGTTAAGCATAAATTTACCACATGGCTTATTAATTTTATTTCTAGATATTTAACCAAAAGAAATGAAAATGTGTCTACACAAAGATTTGCACATGAATGTCCATAGGAGCATTATCATAAATGCCAAAAATTGAAACCATCCCACATACTCATCAACTGATGAAAGGAGGAATAAAACATAGTAGCATTGCCATATAATTGAAGTTCAACAATAAAAAGGGATGAAATATTGACACGTTACATGTATGAACCTCAAAAACGTAAATGAAAGAAGCCCAATACAGAAGAGATCACATGTTGTATGATTCCATTTATATGAAATGTCTATAAAAGGCAACTGTAAGTAGATTTGTGATTGCCTGAGCCTGGGAGTAAAATCCAGGATTAAATGGCTGTGGAGGATCTTATGAGTAAGGAAAAATATTCTAAAACTGGATTATGGTAATGATTGCACAACTTGGTAAATGTATGAAAAAATCATTGCATTATATGATTAAAATGGATGAATTTTAATGTATATAAATTATACCACAATAGTGAATAGCACAGGTAAGATTTCTGCCTTTGTGGAACTTATAGATTAATGATGAGACACGTAAGTAATAATTAAGCAAAATAATTAAAATAAATGACCAAAAAGGAAAGTCCAGTATTATTGGAAAGAAAATCAGAAGGAGGGAGTTGATAACTATATTGGGTGCAGCCAAGAGGTTGAGTGGGTGGCGGCATGGAGATTCATGGTCACCTTAGTGACCTTAATAACCTCATTTGAACATTGGGCAAAGGGCGATTGGATTGCAGTGAGATTCGAATGGCAGGATAGGAAGTGGAGGCAACAGTTAGGTAACTATTTAGAGAAGTTTGTAAAAGGGAGCAAAGGAAAGGGGTAAAGAGAAGGCTGTGAAACATGAGTGTCTTGTCAAGGGAGGTACCACCTGCATTTGGAAGATTGTACATCTTGTTTATAAATTGCTAAGAATGGCCCAGGAAAGAGATAAGAGCTGATGACTCAGGAGATGGGGGCAACAAAAAAGGAGCAGAGTCCTTTAAGAATTGAGAGGAGTTGGATACAGAGTGCAAATGAGGGTTTGACCTTTGCAAAAGACAAAAATTCCTTCAATTTTAATGAGGAAAATAATTCAAGGATATATGCAGATGCAGGTAGGTTTGGATGTGAGAATTTCAGGGAGTATCTTTTCCTGTTGCAATTTGAGGTTAACTAAAAGGCAGGATGGAGTGGGTTAAAAAAAATGTGTGGAAAATCTGAGGACAGAGAAGATAGAAAGTATCCCCTGGGAGAATAGGAAAGAGCTTTTCCTAGGAGAACATGTAGGATTGCCAAGCAGAACTGAGTGTTCCATTTGAAATTACTGAGAAAAACTATATGGTGAAGTCAATTCACTCAATTACATTTTTTCTATAGTCTTGTCCCCCTGGGGTTTCAGGCTCAGAGAAGGCAGATGTTTGGGTTAACCAGAGTAAGTGTTTTGCTTGGCAAATATAGTGGTTACAGGCCTGGGAGACAAGGTTTTGCTGAGGATATTTGCAGAGGAATAACTGTAATGCTGAGCCATGAAATCTAAGCTGGGAGGGATGCAGGCTTCAATGTACCTTTCTCTGTGAGCAAGGGCACTTAAACTGGTCTTCTAGTTGCGTTTTATGGAACACAAAGTGCTTCAGAACAGCTGAAGAGGAAATCTATTACGTAGAAGTAGTTTACCCATGATACCAGTTTTGTTAGTCATCGTAAAAATTCAAGTTGTTCTTGGCGTAGCATGTATTATATGTCCTGTAATGATCCTTACAAATCTTTCTGGAATTTGAAGAAATCTACTTTAAAACCTTTGTCTGATATTTCCCCTAGCTGACAGTTTCTTGTTTTTTAGTAAAGTATGTCAGGATAATGAGGTTCTCACTGAATTAACGTCACTCAGCTCTTGGTTGTCATAGATTTTCTGTCATGAAACATGCAAATTAATTAGGAAATGGGTGAAGAAATATTAAAATGTATTATAAGCAATGACACTTATTAATGCTAGGTTAAAATCGTACAGAACTATTCAGATTAATGAAATAGAGCAGAAAGTCCAGAAACAATCCCACTGTATGTAAGGATATAGTATGTGATAAGGGTGACATTTTGGTGTAGGGAAAGAATCAGTACAGTAAATGATTCTGTAAATAGCATTGAAGCAATTGGCTTACATCTTGGGAAAAATATAATTACATGTTTATATAATATCATGTATAAAAATATGTCACAGAAGGAACTTACTTTATAGTAAAACAAAATCTTTTTTATAAGCTTTAGACAAAATATATGGAAATTTATGTCACTGCAGAGGAATTTTCTAAATATGAAACCAAGCCATAAAGAAAATCAGTAGTTTTGGTTAAACTGTTAAAATTTTATGTGCACAAAACACTGTAAATAACACTAAAAGGTAAAATACAATCAATAAAAGGTATTTCCAACAGTATCACTAAAATATAGAGAATTCTTACAAATTATTTTTATAGACAGGGACTCCAGGAGGAAAGAAAAGATAAATACATAAATGACCAAAAATTCATGAAGAAATAACCTCTCGTATTAAAAACATAATAATTAAAACATGATACCTTTTTTAATGTAGCAGATTGGCAAAATTTTGTTTTATTATGACAACTCATTTTGGGTGGAGGGGACATTCTTACTAACATTTTATATAAATTGATAGAACCATTTAGAAAAGCAGTTTGGAAGTATTCAATAAAAGCCTTAAAATTTCAAAGTCTACATGAGCCAGTTCCACTTCTACAAATATATTCTAAATGCATAATCATGGATAAGTATAAATATTTATTACAAGAATGTTCATTAAAGGATTATTTTATAAAAGAAAAATATTTTTAATAGCAAATGTCTCAAAACTGGCAATTGATAAAATAATTGTGATTACATGGATTGTAATATGTGCAGTCATGAAACATGTAATAAAATATTTAATGATATGGAAAGACAGTTGTGATATGTTAAATGAAAAGACGTTACAGTTGTGATATAATGTTAAATGAAAAGACGTTACAGCATAGAATGGATTATGTGTTTATAAAAACAAAAATAATGTGTATATGTAAGGGGATGAGAAGGATATAGATCAAATATACTAATTGTCTTTCATAATGGGATTATGGGTGATTCTCCTTTGTGCTAATCCGTATTTACTACATAAATATATGTTTCCTTTTTTATGAGAAAAATGCTATTTTGTTAAAAAGGAAAATTTGTGAGAAGCATGGAACTGAAAGAACTGTGTATTGTCTTTTTGTAGGCCAAATCGGTACCTCCTCTTTGACCTGGTGAAGTACGTCTACGCTGTGACTCACAGATTATTCCTCCCATACCCCATACCACGTTTTGCCTATCGGTAAGTAGAATGCTCCTTTTGTGCGACTTCTGAAAAAAGCTAACTCCACACACTTGTTCTTAATGTTCTCCCTTAGGGTATAGGGTGTGTGAATGACTAGTCTCCAACTCTCCTAGTATTATGACATTAGTGAGGAAGAAGCAGAACTAGATTAGTGCCAGTAAGAAAAATGTGTTGGGAGATTAAATCTGCAGTCCTTCACTTTCTCCAATTTAAAACCATTGAGTTTAATTTTGGAGAAATAACTTGCTTGGCATATACATAAGAGGCAGTCAGGTTCCCCTGTGTTTCATGTTGCTCATTATTAAATCAACCTGATCATGCTACTGGGGAAAGGAGTCAGGCTAATTCAGACTTGGATTTGTGCTTGCCTTCTCTTCTTTCCTTGCTTCTTAGTTCACTTCTTCCCTTTGTGGGTTAAATATCTTTGACTTGGCTGGGAGTGGTGACTTATGCCTGTAATCCCAGCACTTTGGGAGGCCAAGGTGGGTCGATTGAGCTCAGGAGTTCGAGACCACCCTGGGCAATATAGCGAAACCCCATCTCCGCAAAAAATACCAAATTAGCTGGATGTGGTGGCATCTGCCTATAGTCCCAGCTACTGGGGTGGAGTGGAGGATGCAAGAGGATTACTTGAGCTTGGGAGTTCAAGGCTGCAGCGAGCTGAGATTGTGCCACTGCATTCCAGCCTAGGTGACAGAGCAAAACCCTATCTCAAATAAAATAAAATCTTATACTCATCATGTCACACCCTAGTTGTCTGGTTAAGGGGACTGTCACATCCATTGTGTCACAAACTGATCTTCATTTGAATTTTCATTCATTCATTCAACAAATATTTATTGAATGCCTACTATGTCTTAATGTACTAGGTACTCAGAATGTTACAATAAACACTCAGAAATCTTATGATCTAACAGGGGTACCAGAAAAATAGACCATTAGAATGCAGCATAACAGTATTTATTGAGTGTTGTAGCTTTCAGCCTATTTACGTTGTCTCCTTTACTACTTACAGCTATCTATAAAGTAAGTAAGGAGAGTATATGGAGTGAGTGGAAGAGGATGCCACAGAGTAAGAAACTTACAAGAAGGCTGAAAAAAAGTGATCAGACTTTTAAGTGGGAAATGAGAGTTTGAAATTCTAGGCACCAAGGGGAAGGGAGTGCTTTAAGGAGGGAGTCAATGTTTTAAGAAGGGGAACATTGCTGTTCATTCACATGTATCTTAAGCCCCTAGAACAATGCCTGGTACACAGTAGACACTCTGTTAATACTGGTAGAATGAAGTCTTGCAGAAATCAGATAAGATAAAGGACCCAAAAATGTCTGCAAGTGACCGTTTGTGACCGCGGCTTCAGAGCCGTGAAAGGGATATAAGCCAGATTGCAGTGAGGTGCTTTCATGGTTGTACATAACAATTGAGTTAGATTTGGCGTATGTATGCCCATGACTTGGTCTCCTGAGGACACTAGAATAGAGACCTGAAGTGATCTGTTAGCGTAGAACGAGGGCACAGAGAGTTATAGATTTGTAAGGAGTGTTTTTATTAAGCTATGTTAGCCTAGTAAATTCTCTTTCTCTGCCATTGGGGAATCTGAAGCTTATATGTTACTAGAGAAATTCTAGCCAGCTTCTTTATTCATTTATTTATACTATGCATTAGAATGATGTTTTTCTAGCTTTTAAACAGTTGTGGAACCTTGTGTTCACTGAATTTTTACATCAAGGCCTGCTGGGTAAATCCAATAGAAGAACTGGTCTGGTTTCAGTGATGGCTGATACTCAGCACATAAACTCTCAAACTCTTGGCCCCAGGACTCCATGGGGCACCAGCAAATTCCTAGCATCCCTTAGATGCTAGTTTAAAACCAACTGCTACTGGGCACAGTGGTGCACACCTGTAGTCCTAGCTACTAGGGAGGCTGAGGTGGGAGGATCACTTGAATCCAGGAGTTTGAATCCAGCCTGGACACATAGTGAGACCCTGTCTCTGGAACAAAAAAAAAAAAGGAAAGAAAAGAAAAACCCACTGATGCGAAAAAAGAAAATATTTAAAGGTTTAAAACCCACTGGTAAAGTTAAATACATGGACAAGCCCAGTATTACTTTAATATTGTAATTATGGTATATAATCCACATCATAAGTATAGTATAGAAATATATCTAGTATAAAGCCACGAATACAAATCAATCAAAAATAATAATAGTTATAGCAATCCGTTAAGAGATATGGAATATAAAGATATATAAATTGAGATAACATAAAGCCAAAATGTGGGGAGAATGAAGTTAAAGTGTAGAGATTTAAAAAAAAAATTTTTTTTTTCATTATATAAGGGTTTCCCCATGTTGGTCAGGCTAGTCTTGAACTCCCAACCTCAGGTGATCCGCCCGCCTCGGCCTCTCAGGAGATTTTTTTGATTTTGTTTTTGTTTTTACATTTTTCTTTGTTTCTAGTATTTTCTGTGTGATCTAAGTTACTATCTCTTTAAAATAACTTGTTATATCCACAAGATTTTTTTTGTAAGCCCGATGGTAACCACAATGCAAAAACCTATAATAGATTCACTAAAAATAAAAAGCAATGCATTAACACATAGTATCAGAGAAAATTACTTAACCACAAAGGAAGACAGTAAGAAAGGAAGAGAGGAGTTACAGAACAGCCAGAAAACAAGCAACAAAATGGCAGTAGTAAGTACTTACCTATCAACAAAAACACCGAATTTAAATGGACTCAATTCTCCAATTAAAAGACATAGAATGGCTAAATGGATAAAGAAATAAGACCTGACTATATGCTGCCTACAAGAAAACCATTTCACTTCTAACATGAAGGGATGGAAAAATATTCTGTATAATTGGAAACCAAAAAAAAAAAAAAAAAAAAACGGCAGGAATCAGTAGCTTTACTTATATCAGATAAAACAGACTACAGATCAAAGACTGCAGAAAGAGACAAAGAGGTAATTCAGCAAGAGGAAATAAGTTTAAATATCTATGTACCCAAAGGAAATAAGTATAAATACCTATGTATCCGACAACAGAGCTCCCAAGTATATAATGCAAACATGAATCGATCTAAAGGGAGAGATAGACTGCAATACAATAATAGTAGGAGACTTCAGCACTCTACTGCCAGTAATGGACAGGTCATCCAGACAGAAAATCAAGATACATTGGAGATAAACTACACACTAGACCAAATTAGGCCTAACTGACACAGAACATTTCACCCAACTGCTACAGAATATACATTTTCTTCATCGGCACATGGAACATTCTCCAAAACAGACTGCATGTTAGGCCACAAAACAAGTCTCAACAAATGCAAAAAAGTATAAATCATATCAAGTATATTTTCTGACCACAATGGAATAAAACTAGAAATCAATAACAAGAGGAGCCTTGGGAAATACACAAACACATAGAAATTAACACACTCCTGAATGACTTAGGGTCAATGAGGAAATTAAGAAAATTTTTTAAATTTCTGGAAACAAATGAAAATGGAAAATGACATACCAAAATGTGTAGAATACAACAAAAACAGCACTAAGAGGGAATTTTATAGCAATAAATGCCTGTACCGAAAAAGTAGAAAGACTTCAAATAAAGAACCTAATGATATACCTCAAGAAAGTAGAAAAGCAAGAACAAACCAAACTCAAAATTAGAAAAAAAGATATAATAAAGTTCAGAGCAGAAATAAATGGAGACTAAAAAATACAGAAAATCAATGAAATGAAAATATATTTTTTGCAGATATTAACAAAATTGACAAACCTTTAGCTAAATTAAGAAAAGAGAGAAAACTCAAATAAATAAAATTATAAATGAAACAAGAGACATAATAACTGACACCACAGACATACAAGAATCATTAGAGGCTACTATGAATAACTACATGCCAACAAGTTGCAAAACCTAGAATAAATGGGTAAATTCCTGGACACGTACAACCTACCAAGATTGAAACCATGAAGAAATAGAAAATTTCAACAAACCAATAATGAATAATGAGATTGAAGTCATAATAAAATGTCTCCCATTAAAGAAAAGTCTAGGACCTGATGGCTTTATTGCTGAATTCTACCAAACATTTAAAGAAAAATGATGACCAATACAAATGCTTCGTAAGAATTGAAGAGAAGGGAATATTTCCAAACTCATTCTATGAGGCTTGCATTACCCTGATACCAAACCAAAGACACAACCAAAAAAGAAAACTGTAGGCCCATAATCACTGATGAACATAGATGCAAAAATACTCAACAGAATACTAGCAAATGGAATTCAACAACATATTAAAAAGATAATTCATCATGATCAAGTAGGATTCATTCTAGGGATGCAAGGATGGTTCAACATACAAATCAATAAACACAATATATCACATTAAGAGAACCAAGAACAAGAACAAATTATTTCAATAGCTGCTGAAAAAGCATTCAATAAAATTAAACATGACTTTATGATAAAAAAAAAACCCTTCAACAAACTAGGTGTAGAAGAAACCATACTTCGAAATAATAAAGACTATGGATGAAAAACTCAGCTAACATCATACTGATAGGGAAAAACTGAGAGCCTTTTCTTTAAAATCTGGAACCAGACAAAGATGGCCACTTTCACTACTTTTATTCAACATACTACTGGAAGTTTCAGGGCAATAAGGCAAGATAAAGAAATAAAGGGCATCTAAATTGGAAAGAAAGAAATTTAAATTGGCTTTGTTGGCAGAAGACATGATATTACACTTAGGAAAACCTAAAGACTCCACCAAATAACTGTTGAAACTGCTAAGTGAATTCAGTAAATGTTCAGCATATAAAATCAATATACAAAAATCAATAGCATTTACATCTGCCAAGAGCAAACAATTTGAAAAAGAAATCAAGAAATCAATTTTATTTACAATAGCTACAAAGAATACAAAATATCTAGGAATCAATGTAACCAAAGATGTGAAAGATCTATATAAGGACAACTATTAAAAACTGATGTAAGAAGCTGAAGAGAGCACCAAAAAATGGAAAGATGTTCCATGCTCAAGGACCCAATGGCATTCTTCACAGAAATAGAAAAAATAATTTCAAAATTGACATGGAACCACAAAAGACCCCAAATACCCAAAGCAATCATAAGCAAAAAGAACAAAGCTAGAGGCATCACACTACCTGACTTGAAAATATACTACAAAATTATAGCAACCAAAACATCATGGTACTGGCATAAAAAGACATATAGACCAATGAAACAGAATAGAGAACCCAGACCCAGATATAAATACATGCATTTATAGCCAACTCATTTTTGACAAAGGCACCAGGAACATACAGTGGGGAAAGGGGAGTCTCTTCAGTAAATGGTGCTGGGAAAACTGGATAATTACATGCAGAAGAATAAAACTA